CACTGCCAAGAAAAATATTGTATCGACAAAATTGGAAATGCCAAATACGTCACTAAATTCGACCTTCTGGAAAGCTTTTGGCAAATTCTCAAAATGGAAAGAGACGATGAAATTTTGGCATTTGTGACTCCATATAGACTCTACCAATACAAAGTGGTGTCTTCTGGGATGAAGATTTTTTTCAAAGTACTTTTCATCGCAATATGAATTATTTCTTCTGGTCTAGACAATTGTGAAGTATATATTGATGTCATTCATCATTTACAAAAACACCTGGAAAGAACATCTACGATTTAGACGTTCTTCGACAGACTCAAGGATGCAAATCTGACTTCATTTATCTAAAAGTGAGTTCTGCCGTGTATGTGTTACTTATCTAGGATATAATGTGGGACACAGACAGATTAAAACTATATGCTAAGATCAAGGCTATTTCAGAATTTCCTATGTAGAAATGTCATTTTTATTAATTCATATGAGTTTTTATTATGTCATTTTTTACTTTGTGTAGAATTTATTATTTGCAATGATTTTTTATTTATTTATATTTATTTATATTTATTTTTATTTATTATTTGCAATTATTTTTTATTTATGTGAGAAGGTGTTACAGCCCTGGAGTTAAAGTATTTGTGTTAATGTATCAATTTTGTATAAATCTCTTTTTATTTCATTATATTAATATTGTCTAACATGTTTCGATAAAAGAGTGTTTACATGAGTCGTAGATATGACTCATCTTAGCACGTGTTGTGTATGTGTGTATGATAACAAATTCATTACAAATAAACATTCAGGAATAGCCACGAAAACGATTGGTTGATACTGAGTCAGGCTTTCCCGAATGTCCAGAAGTATTACAAAATTGCATGCTTCCTCGTGCGCGTCCAATTCAAACTACGCATTAGCCTTCATATATGTTTGAGATTTTTGTACGTTATACACAGTCACGGAGAGACAGTCGTAGTCGAGAGCCAACAGTCGTAGTAGAGTCAGTTATACAACTTTTAATTTCTTTAAAAAAAAGTATTTGTTATGCCAGAAGAAGTTGTCCATATGTCTACATAGAATGACATGTCTTGTTAGAGGAACTATTTTCACTTCGTCTTTATAATTGTTTTCCTAGAGAACAACGTTACGCATTTGGACATTTTCTCCCTAATATTGGAACGGGACAATACAAACTTTGTTTTATTGTGTAAATTCTGGAATTTGCTGTTAGCCTTCGTCTGACGCGACCAACCGCCATTTTGGACCGGAACATCATACACTTTCAGACTACTTAAATATTTTGTGTTCTAGGAAAATAAATAACATTGTTAATTTATAAAGCTTGTTGTATTCACTTTGTTACGTAACAAATCAAATAAGATCAACTTGGAACAGCAGATGAAATATGTATCACGACTGTTGTACAAAACAGATTAAGGTAGATATGTGTGGGTAAATAAACCTGGTTTTCAGACTTGAGGAGTTAAGCAAGTTTATTGAAACTAGAAAACGTCAACAGCACATACGTACAAAATTGTGTAGTTGTAACAATGCGGTGTACGGATCTTTTCACACGTGTCCGTATTCAGGAAGAGCTATATAACAAATAAACTCAAGACTAGTGTTCTAAAACCATACACGAAATCTCAATTTCACTAACCGTTAGTGCACATTAATAACCGTAATGTTCTAACACAAGACATGTTAAATCGTATACTAATACTTAAATCTAAATTTGTTTAACTTTTATTCATAAATAACTGCTAACTCAATTAACTCTAACTATAGGGATTGAGGAACGATAATATTCATTTAGACCTGCTACATAATGTCTATAATACAATAAAAATCAACAATTTTCAGGCTTTCAATGTTAATTTTCTATTTATTTTTGTCGCTTATCTAAATCCACCGCGATATTTTGCCTATGGCGGTAGAAATTTCAAAGTTCTATTACTAAATATCTGCGTAGCTGTTATGACGAGTGAAGAATACATCTAGATAACTTGTTTGATAGGCATACTTATCAAGACGTATAGGCTGAAAAGAAAAATAACTGCATTATATCAAGACGTATAGGCTGAAAAGAAAAATAACTGCATTATATCAAGACTGACTTGTAAATTATAATACATCGTCTGTATATTATGCTTCCTGCACAGTCATAAATTATTCATACACTTGAAATTTTATCCGATCAGCACATAGATGAATCTTAAACTGAAATGAATAAAGCATGCCACCTTAAAGCGAAATGTTAAAACTAAGGTTAGGCAGCATAATAGATATGTACGCCTCACTAAATTGAAAACGGTTACCCATACAAGATGTCTGAGTTAGCACAAGCAGGCTCTATTTTCTACGTGAGACTTTAACAAGAAAATGGTCTAAAGATAAACTTGAAAACTAGTGTACAATGTACATCTTTTTAAAGATAAATTGTCTACACTAATATCACACGTGCAACAGTAATTGAAAACAATATAGAAAGCCACAATTGTGTACTGATTATGCCCTGCAACCCACTTATGATTGTTACGTATCGGCTCGTTCAAAGTAACACAAAGAAATAGTGAAGAAAACAAGCTTTGTAAATTTTTTTTAAAAAATTAACCTATAACACAGAGAAAAGGTAAATATATGAAACATGACTTATGATTTGCAAAAGAAATCCAAAAATTTTGTTATAAAAATATTAAAACAAGTCCTGTGAAAAGTTTTGAATTGACACTCTGAGGTTCAGTTTCAGTCCAAGAAGACTACCAAAACACATGACGTTCTACGTAGACACACAAGCAACTTCTTCCAGCACAAAAAATACCTCTCATAAGGTAATAGAAGCTACATGACTCTCTACCGATATTGAAATCGGTGACTAAACTGCACGTGCTGCTACGACTGAAATTAAGAAAAAACTAAGCATATAAAAGACACTATTATGTCGTTTCATATACACCCGCACGAAGGACGCGTGTAATTTCGCAATCCATTTGGACATTAGGAAAGCCTGAACAAGTATCAGCCAATCATTTACCTAGCTACTTCTGAATGTTTACTTACGACGAATTGACCATCATACAAAGATCGTGCTTACGTAGTAAAATTTACGATTTAAGTAAACACGATGTTTCTAACAAAATATTAGACCCAATCTAGAATAAAAATAATAATAATAATAATAATAATAATAATAATAATAATAATAATAATAATAATAATAATAATAATAATAATAATAATAATAATAATAATAATAATAATAATAATAATAATAAACATATAACGACATAAAAATGAAATAAAATGAATTAAAAAGATTTATACATAATTCATTTTTAACACACATAATTCAACCAGTGTCGTAACATGATAGATAATCCAACGCACACCCAAATGCTTCATCCTAGAGGTGACAGTGTGTACATGCATTATTCTTTACAAACACATATACGTTAACACAAACGGCATTAGGAAGTTAAAAAAGCGATGAAATATATTCATACGTCCATTCTCTCACACATAAGCAACCAATGACATTAATGTTGTTAGACACGCTAAACCTTTCATACAAGCACGGTCCCACATGCAATCAAGGTGTTTAAGGTTTTACTTGTAAAAACAGTCGTCAATTTAGACAAACATGCATATACATAAAACTCTGATAGGCAATAACGTTTATCGGTGTCTCTTTCGAGATTCGTTTATTTGTTTAGCTTTGAAAATCTCACATGTTTTTGTATTTTTTTTTACCTAAGAGAATATATATATATATATATATATATATATATATATATATATATATATATATATATATATATATATATATATATATATATATATATATATATATATAATCACATACACTAGATAGTCTGGGTTGGACTGCATTCTTGTAATGATAATACAGAATACCATTTTGTCCACAAATAATCTTGAGAATAGGTAAATAATGAAACATTATGTCTTTATATATAAAGAGGAGAGAACAAAAAAAGGAAAGAGAGTGAACATAGATCGGATCGAATCGAATTGAACCGCTTCACCAATGAAAATGTGCTGAGTGTAATTCAGCCAGGGCGAGTTGTCCCTCTTCTAGTCAAAAGAACGTAAACTCGTGACGTCATTTTCAATATATATGTTCACCATCATTCCTACTATTTACCACTATGGATCAGATTAGGTACAATACCGATGGCTGTAACAAGACGAAGATGTATTATTAGGGTTCGAATGCTGTGCATACATCATATTCTTCGATTGATACTACGATGACTGTGACTATTACTGCTATTGTACCCTGTATTATTCTTCTATAAGGATTTACTTCAATTTAGCTTTGGCTGATTTCCTGATATTTCTGCAATAAAGTCCGTCTGTGACGACAATACCACATTTATCCCCTTCACATTTATTAGTAGTGGAGAATAATTTCAGAACGATGAGAACAAAGAACAGAAGAGATGTTTAAAACATCCTGTTTCTCATGTCAAACTAAAGCAATGTAATGTTAATATTTAAAACAGTAAGCTCCGGTGGCATAGAGGTTGGAGCATCTGCCTCGGATTCAGGAGATCGAGGGTTCGAGTCAGACCAAACATTTACAATAATGGTATTAACAGCTGTCTTGTTTGGCTCTCAACATTAAAAGGGTGGTATTAGGACTGGTCGGCCTGGTGTCAGGATAATGTGACTGGGTGGGACATCATGCTATATGTCTGCGGCATGATACCCAGTGCTAGACATCACTATAAACTGCCACACTGCATACATTGAGGCAATATGACTGAAAAATTGTTAAAGCTACATTAAAAATCCAAATTACATCACAACACACCGTTTCTGGTGTCAAACTGCATACATGGGGTGAAAATATAAAAATTTCGTTTATAGTGTGAGGCTACGGCAATATAACATTAGTATTAAATTAAACAGTGCGTGTCTCGTATAGTCTGTAACGTTAACATCGAGAAAGTGCGTTTCTGGTGACAGACTACATAAATATAATGAACAGCTCCGGTGGCCTAGTGGTTAGAGCATCCGCCTCGGATACGGGAGGTCGTGGATTTGATCCCTGATCGAGTCACATCAAAGACCTACAAAAATGGTACTAACAGCTACCTCGCTTCGCGCTCAGAATTAAAAGGTTAGTGTTAGGACTGGTCGGTCTGGTGTCAGGATAAAATGACTGGACAGAGCTTTGTTACAAAGAAAATTGGGAGCCTAACCTGTAATAATATATCACAAGTAGGATACGAGTACACACCACTCGGTTCCAATCCTGCTAGTTTATACTAATACCAATACTTATATTACTACTAATTGCGCATGCTAATTTCAAAATTTAGCCAGTCGTAATCAAGAATAGTACAATTTTTTAAACAGTTCAGTTTGTGGCATATTGGAGAAAATCCAATAATTATTTGCGGACTGTGACGTTCGGAACCTGAACAGCAGTATGTTTTGCATTCGGACAAGTTAAATCATGCAAATGAAGCTGAAAATATGTCAAAAGACTCTGTTCAAAACGTTTAATAAATATTAGCTTTAGCTTCAAATTGCTTCTCATACTAACTCTTCCAGCCGTGACTGACTTTCCCATTCCCAGAGAAAATCCTGACCACCCCCATCCCATGCACAAAGTCCTGACCCCACTGCAAAATATCCTGAAGGCACCCATGGCCATTGGTCTCAAGATACTTTTCTATGCTATATTTTTAAACCCTAGAGAGCACTTGTCAGTCTTAACCATTATATTTGTGAAAAGATATGAATATTCTCCGAAATAACTGTTTCAATTATCAGAATGGTATAATTAATTACTACGTCTCTTATGTTTGCGTTTGTTGTTGACTTTTTGAATATCAGGTTAATTCGATAAAATTTCGTTTCTGATTTTACGAACTCGTCGACGTCGTTAACTTTATCATTAATGTTTTAAAATGGACCAAATATATGCTTTAATTCACTCACAAATGGAATGAACTAAACCCTAAAGCGTCAACTACACGAGTGTACATGTTTTGTTTACAAGGTAGTTCCTATTATTATATGCTCATCTTTTTTCACCGTTAACATTACATTGTCAGAATCGTGCAGTATTCCACGATATTGCACACATTTATACTGTACCACACGTGAAAACTATTTTCTAACGAAAACAATTCTTTTTATGAATGAACTAAAGCAGATATTTCGCCGTATTATCACACATGCTTGGGAAAGATAACGACCACGTATGTTACAAATTATGGAAAACGCGATTAACTAAAAATATTTGAATTATTCTATGTTAATTTCGATGTCTCTGATTAATTTGACGATTTGACTTCAAGTATTCAAAAGAATTCAAGCCAGCTGAAACCGCTGAAGATTTTAGGAATAAAAAAAAAGAAAATCTGAAATTTAAAACGTTATAACAATGCAACATTATTGCTGCAGTCTAAACTGACAGGCACTTAATATTCCTTATTATATGAGTTGCAACTTATATATGCCATAAATTTAATATAAAATGAATTTCTAAATTATTTCTCCTTTTGTATATTTAATACATATTTCTCTCTTTTTAAAAGTCTTAGCGACTTCATTGATGAAAGTTGCAATTGATTACATAGGTGTGGAGTGGGGATCATATGTATGAAGCATGCCCAATTTTATAAAATGTCTAGGTTCGTATGTTTAATATTTATTTTTTTAAACAGAGGCATGGATCGAGCACGGTTTTAATAAATGTCTAGGTCCATATGGTTTTCTTAAACCACAAACTTGTATCTATTAAGGTTCAATGCTTTGTTTCATGAGTTTTAGAAAGTGAAGATAACTGAATTTTCAAATTTTTGCTTTTCTCATAAGTAAGTCTGTTATTAATAGTGATAGTTGTGAAAATGTGTGACTTCTGACATACGTTTCATTCATAAAACTGATAATCATGCATTCATGTACATATCGGCTGTTCAAAATATTGAAATTGGCTTTATGGAGAACGTTTTGGGATTTTATTATTTTGTCTAGCAGTTACTAGGCATATAACAAAAACTAGCATTATAATTGTAATTCGATCTTTGTTGTTGGGTGACTTCTTGTTACCAACGTCCGAAAATCCGGATAATTACGAAATATCGTCTTTTCGTCTCGAATTCATATTTTGAAAGCAATCTTTTGAAGTTTCATATGTATTTGTTATCTAATACTCGCTTTCTAATACTAACTCAGAACTTATATCTCATCATCTTTGAAAAGAAACTCATCCACGTCTCTTGAAAAAAAAAAAACATCTCAACGACCAAGATCACGTAAGGAAGTGAAACACGAAAGTAATGTGACTTAATTAATATTGCTCAGCGTACACCATTTATTAATGGGTGTTTATTGACTTTGGTGTCAATATCTTACCTGATTACTAAATAATAATAATAATAATAATAATAATAATAATAATAATAATAATAATAATAATAATAATAATAATAATAATAATAAAAATAATAATAATAATAATAATAATGTCGTCATATGCTGAAATCAATATATATATATATATATATATATATATATATATATATATATATATATATATATATATATATATATATATATATATACACACACACACACACACAAATGTCCCAAATACGCAGCTAAAGCAATAATGGAAAATAAAGCCAGCAAGATCAATATATGGAATAGTCACTAGACAAACATGATATCAACACATTAGAAAGTGTATTATAAACTATTTGAATTAGAGCCGAATTCAGCAGATATATCAGGCGAATATAAGATGAAAATTCAATTTAGCAGTCGCCACCTTATTTAATTCAGCACTATGTATATTGTTCCTTTGTTCTTCGCTCTTTTTCGTATATGTGTTAGTGAGTGGTGGTACCTTGACAGTATGATAGTGTTGTTTGTGGTTTGTTTTCTGATCTGCCTTGCATAGTGCCGCTCTTCTAATGGATGAATATTAATGAGGTTGATATACACCAAGTTTCAAATCATGTACGACCATCATATACGGCTTGAGTTTCTAGGCCAGGTAAATCCGAAATTATTGCATACCAAACTAAACAAATTTGACACTTTTTCCTTTATTAATACTAACTACTACATTGCAATGTAGTATGTCAAAGAGACTACACCATAAAAAAGTTTTGGCAAGTAATAGCTAAATTTAATGCTTTTAGTAATATGCGACCTTTCTATTTCCATGCCTTCCAGCATGGTGGGTCTGTTTTTGTTGGCCCGTATTGTATGCTATGAAGTAATATTGATTTCGATTTTCATAAATCGTATCGAAGCATTGCTCGGGAATTTTCAAATATTATGCCTAGGAGTATTACTTTTAATTACGACTGCTTAGAAACAAAGGAAGTAACGTAACGATTGTGACAAGGCTTCCAGCAGGAAAAAGCAGTCACTAATACATGTTAATAATATTTTTTTGCAGTAAATTGAATTGCTGTTCAAATAAAAGAAACTGCAATAATTAAGTTTCTTAAGTGACACTTATCTTTCTGCTAGCAACATCTTTTTCATCACAATTTTCGTACTTTGACTCATGTAGTGATTATAATTTTCATCTATGAGATGAAAGCAAAGGTAAGGATTTTAAATAGCTTATACTTCAATAAACGATATTCAGTAACCATAGTAGCAAACACTACATTTCATTGTCATTTCATTTCTCATAAGCAGTCGATTTAAAACTTTTAGAAGTTCACAGGAGATTGCAATGTTTTGCAAGTTTTAGTCGACGAGTAATACTAATTTTAATTTTGTCTTTCCTCGTAACGAATTCAGCACAGTCTGTGTACCCGGCGGTATAAGGTACCTTTTTGTATAATTTCACTAACAGCTTGTGATTGTAATTTGTACCTTGATGCTTCCACCCTTCAAAATTGCCTGCTTTTGTCGTTTGATGCACTGCTAAAATAGTTTCACTTGCGTCTAGTACTCTGTGCTTCATTCTCCGCGCATTTAGTACCAGCCAATTATCGTACGCTCTCCGCCCAATTACAATGTCTGGTATATCCTTCCACGGATACGATGCTGATGTGATAAAGTAATCCTCCGCATAAGTACCAAACGACTTCCCTCTTTTCTTTGAAACACTTTCTAATGCACTCAATGATGAACCTTCGCTCTTCGTTAAGTTATCTACATTCGTTCTTTTCCCAACAATTAAAGTATGCCCTTTGAACGATGAATCGTTTTCAAGAATATCACTTAGCGTGTCAACCAACTTGTCTGTAAACAATATATCACTATTGGCAAATGCGTAAAAGTTGGAATCAAACCTTTTCATCACGTCCAGATACATGTGTTTTAGAACTGGTGCTCCTTGTGCCGCAGTTGCCCTCACTGGCAACACTCTCCATCCTTTCTGTGAACATTCCTCGGCTAGGGAAGTTTCATTTGTAAATACCACTGGAATAATAAGCGGTCTTAGAGATAACCAGTTCACTGAAGTTAAATTATGAACGGCGTATTTGTCTTTGCTTTTACGCCAAGTAGTAAACAAAGTTAATAGCGGAATTTTTAAATTTGTTGTTATCGATTTTTCCTTTGGGGTTGATATATTATGAAACCTGATTCCATGAAAAAAGCGAATTGTTGATATAGTCAATTTATTTGAGGTAATGGCGGAAAAATCATTCATCTGAATCGTTGCATTCTCTTTTGAGGAATATATTATTGGACCTAAATTAGTATTCCCAATCACAGTCTGATCACCTCTTAAGGCATAAGTATCCAGTTTTTTGAGAGTTTCAATGTAGAGATAGAAGTAGACAAAAACACAGGGATAAGACACCAGCAAAACCGTTGTCAAACTGCAACTCCGACCCACCTGCGACGACAGAATCTTCTTCAAGAGTGACATATCTCAGTCACCGTTCATTCTGAAATTGCACAATGATACACGTAATAATACATTTATGGTAGAAAAGAATGAATTTTACACTAACAATATTATGTACATTAGATGTGTAGATATAGTTTCAAACGTTCGTTCGTGTTCCTATTCTATCAAACTTTCACACCAACGTAAGTAAATTAACTCTCATTTCCTTGGGAACAAAGTCG